ATCCTGTATTTATTATAATAGTCCATGTATACATGCTATATTATATCATTACTTGAAGATGTTGAAGTACTTGCTTGTTGACAAGATGGCATCACTGTTACTTCTGAAGGAAATGACTTTCCTATTGTATTAAAATATAAATAAGTTAAGTATATTTATAAAACTGTTCATTTACCATATTCCATTATTATATCACTAGCTAAAAACACTGCTTCCTTTGATTTCATTAGAATGCTTGTCAGAGTACATAACTTGCTGTGATCTTCAGCTACAGCTCTTAATATTAGTAACATTGGGTCTCCTACCAATGAACAACCGCAACTCTTCACTTCTGTTAATGTATCCTTAGATATCAATCCCTCTGTATGTAAGAGACCAACTGATTCCTCAGTAAGAACAACTTGAGCTAGTCTACCAATATAACACTGTAATATCTCACTAACAGGATCTGCCACTAAATAAAATAATGAACAAAGTATAACAATAATAAATTTAAATTATTACTTGTTTTGCGAATATCAGTAGAAACAGATGCTGCATTCATTCCACGGAGTGCATTAGCCAGTGTCTTCCAGATTATAGGACCAACAGTGGTGATATTATCATCAGCTTTAGTCAACCACTTGGTTAAACACTCCATCAGGCAGCGTGAAGGGTTCCCTCTATGAGCTGACTCAATAGCTTCCAGTGTAGGATGAAGCAGACCAAGATTCAATCCAAATTCAAACCATCTTGCATCAGGAAACTTGTAATGCCTCAAAACTTGTAGCACAAAGTTTAACTTGCTAATATCTGTACACAAAATATGTATATTGTTGTGTATGAGGGATCAGTATTGTCTAACACACACAAACTGCATGCTTGCTAATTTGCTAACAAGACAAGGAACTAATTTACAAACAAATCTCTTTCTTCGACTTAAAAACACGTGCTAGAAGCACACACAATAAAACTGTACAGAACAAAAGACCGGCTGGCACAGGGCCCCAAAATAATAATAATAATAACAATAATAATGATAATGAATAATAATGAGTAATAATGAGTACATGTACTGTGTGTGTATGTATGTACATAATGTAAACATAAGACTCCTCCCTCTTTAGTTATTAAGACAAAAATCAATAAGGATAATAACAATAAGCTATTACTATTAATAATAACAAAAGTCAATATACATACACAATTTATTAATATAGTCAATATCGTACAGGCGATCCATACCTCTTTGGTGAGTGTCTTGATTATGTAGAACGTCGTACTGGACGATTCATGAGAGATGTGGTTACGGGCTTGGGTTTTGATGACAAGCGATTCGGAGTTGATAAACGAGAGAAGAGTGAGGGAGATTGAATAGGACTAGAGTGATCAGGTTCAGTAGTTAAAGGTAATTGAATAGGGGGAGATTGAGGAGTATCAACTGTAGGTGATGGATTAGGAGTACTAACCACAGTAGGGTCCTCTGAGAGGTCATCATTAGATTCTTCAGTAGTGGATCTTTCATATCGATGAATAATCTGATCAGTATGTTTCCTTACTCTACGACCATCCTCTAACAATACTGTATATA